CGCTGTCTGGTCAGTGAGTCATTGATGCAACTTAATTGCCAAAGTCACAGTGGCTTTCTCATGGAGAAACCCAGCATCTATATTAAAGGAAAACTCAAGGCATACAAATCTCTTTGGACACTCTGACTCTTTGTTAGTGAATTTATTGTTCAATGCATGTTAGAACATTGTAAATCACTTCAAGCAGTGTTTCCCCTAGGTTTACAGCTTTGGGGGGGTGGAGGCAGATGGACGCCGACACAAACACTTGAAGGAATCTTGGTGTTCATGCGTTACTTTTAATGACAACTGTCCTGTTCTATCAGAAAGGTATCCTTAAATGACTTCTTTCCCTGATTTCCAACTGTATACACTATCCTATCTCTACAATAAAAGGTACAAAAAGCCCAAAAATAAATCAAAAACATTTTGTTTTTAATTTCTTTAATTTAATTAATTTGACCTTCAAGGTGGTAGGGGGAACACTGCTTTAAGTACTGCTGCTTCTACTATCTACTATCAAGTGTACATTATTTTTAGTCATATGCCTAAATGTTATGTAGTGCTGTTACTGTAGGGTTAATACAGTATGTTCTCTATGAATTGCAACTGTGAATATATTATCTATTTTGTAGGCCAATCATTGCAGGATAGGGTTCTGCTGCAGCAACCATACATGCCTGCGTTTGGCTTCATGTTTTTTTGGGCTGGGCTTCTAGTCAAACAGCCAAGGGTACAACAAGAATTTCTTCTTTAAACCAGGGTTTCAGCGTGCATCTCCGTGTTAGTCTGCACTTGCTCCTGCTGTGTTTCCCATAATAATGCATTTGATGTCATCGTGTCATCTACTCCGAACGTGTCTATACCAGCCGACACAGCCTGTGTGTATGTGTCAACCCCTCCACGGAGTGTTAGCGTGGTGGAGGTTGACTTCTAAGAGGAAACTATAGAGTCCATAAATACCAAAATAATTGAAGTCAATATGAAAATTGGATTTTACCTAAGAGAGGGGAGTCAGCGTCAATACATGCTGCTCAAAGAAAACCCCTGAAAACACCAGTGTTAGCAACGTGATGCCTGCGCAGTACACATTAAAACGTTTTCCCATCACGCCATGATTTTATGTGTTTGTGGGCTAACTAAATGAACAAATCAATGAATTCCAGTTATAAATCCTACAGATTAACATCAGGCTTCATGATTCTTTTCATTTTTCGTCTGCGCTTCCGTCTATATGCATGCATGCACTTCCTCTCCTCCTCTCTCTCTCAGCCCAAGAGCAAGGTGTCTTTCTAGCCTATAATTGAATTCATATTAATATTGTATCACTTTAAAGTAAAATGATTTCTAATTAAAATGTTAATATCTAACATTAACACAGAATGATTCCCTTTATTGTGGTGAAATCTCAAATGATTTATTTGGTTTTGGGCTTTTTTAAAAGGTTGTGAGTTCAGTTTAATACTTCTGAAAGTCTTCATTTTAGTAGCAGTAAACAGAATTGTCTCGTTCAATTTGTGCTTTGTGAGATCTTTTCATGCCATTTCCTAATTTTTTTTGCAACAATTAACAGAGAGTAGTATTGATAAGAGTGTTGATAAGCATAAATATAGACAAGCAGTATTGGTGTTGATCCATCTCTACCGTTAGACCATGCTATGGTGGGGTGATACTCTTAGTAATTATAAGCAGATTTTCTTGGTACTGCCTCATGTATTCATTTGAGTTTGCACACCCAATTACTACTAAAGCTAATTTCACTGATTACTATGTTAGGGATGATCAGACAGAAAACGAAAGTAATTAAAATGTTTTTTTTCACCGGTACAATGAATTTTCCTTTCCTACAGTTTTGTTTGTTTTCTTTTGCACTCCAGACTCTTGCTCTTCATGTGATAAATTAATAAATACACCAGTGACAAGAGGAGATCATTGCATTTAGAGTTTTTTAATGAAGGTGGGAGATCAAGGGGAATTGGAAAACAGATTTTTTTGTGCCATTTTGATTAATTTATTTCAGATGAGTCGGTCATAATGACAGTGCTGTATGAACTAAGAATGGTGTTTGAAACTTGGTTGTGGTTGAAAAGTAGCTTGCTCTAATTACTCTTGTCCTACTTTCAATGAAACTTTGTCTACATCAGCTTCCAGGATAATGATCTTCTGTTATCCCACTGAGATTTGACATGTGAAGGAGTTAACTTTTGAAATATTCAGTGCAGGCAGGCGGATTATCTGAGATGTTCGTACCACTCCGAAGGCGCCATGGTGTGTTCGCTGGCCGTGTGCATTGTGAGGTTGTGGATAAATTTGTATTGTTGTATACTCATTATTTCTTCTAACTCAGAGCTAGGCTTGTTTTATGGAGTAACGTTGACACGGAAGAGAAACAGGAAGTCGTGTTTACCATGTTGCACTTTCTCTTCTGGCCTGAGAGATGGGGAATGGTGATGGACAAGCTAATTGTTGGAGGATAATGGATGCCAGACAGTAGCAGGTGAATACAAGAAGGCTGTTAGTCATGGATGAATCTGTTATCTCCACTGATAATTACACTGACAATGCTCCAAATGTAGTCAGGTCAGCCCAAGGCTAACACCCAACAAAGCTGCATCTATTATCCCACCACGTATCCCTGTGACAGAGGATTTTGTGTCCAGGAATGCTGCATTATGTGTACATGAATGATGCCCTGTTGCTTGGATTCAGTCCTAAAGTCTCATCTATATTCATTGAAATCCTGCAGTCCCCTACAGGGACAAGGATTGTTGCAAACTGCAAGCCAGTTATTTATCGTCACTGCAAACTATCAGGAAGCAGGAAAAAAACCTCATTTTATAGGCTTTAGCATCATACTGATATGCAAATGAGATCATTGTGACCATCTGGAAATTGTGTCTCATCGAAAATGTTGAATGAAGTGATTAATGGTTGGCTCCGTTTGTAACACTGGCTTCTGTTTTTAACGCTGTGTCTTGTTTGAGTGAGTCTTATACAGGGACGAAAAGACATAAAGTAAATGTGTTGTCAGGGAAGTCAGATATCCCTCGGTCTCCCAGAAAAACATACAAAATCAGGGGAATGGGTTAAAAAAAAATGCTTGAATGAACACTATTAACCTCTGATTGCAACTTGAATAAATCAATGGGCCAATCAAAGAGCGTGGCTCCTTGAAATGTGTTATTTAGGATCACTCTGAGAGAACAGGATAGCTCCATGATACTGAGAAAATGCTGTTCATTTTTAATCTCAGAGGCTTGTAGGTATTGTAATTTGCAATAGTAGCCTAATTTATTTGACTGCGGATCAGATTGAGGGAAGCTGAATTTAAACTGGTTTCACTAAGTGTTACATGCACACCCATGGCGGCGTACAAGGACTAGGTCGTAGGTGATATGTATACAGTATGCAGTGACTCCAGGATGTCACCATGGATGCTACAAGAAATCTGGATTTAACTTAGCCCCTAGCTGCTTATGAACCTGAGTATTGATAGGAACATGTTGCTGTGAATGGTAAAACATGTCCTCGTATTGTTTGTGCTGTGTTGTGAACTTTTACTTTCTGCCCTGAGGCCAGAGTCAAACAGCAAGACTCCTTTCCTTCACTGAGCAGCACTGCTAAGCCGTGATAGAGTTCAGTGCGTCACTTTCCACTGTATAAACCTGGATACCTCTTGTTCATTCTTATTAAAGCTGCAGTTGTAGTCAACCAATGGTCCACCAGAATGTTCTTTCAGACTTCCATTTTTTGACCGATGACTCCCATGCTTTAGAGTTAGAGCCGTTACAATCGAGCGCATTTAGCTTCCACTAATTTGAATCAATAATTGCTTCGTGCGTGAAACAAGTCCAGAGTGATATTGTAAAATTCCAGTCCAAATTACAACATAGAACAGGTTAATTTATAAGGTACACTTCTTGGACCCAAGTGCAACACCATAAACTCAGGAACTGGTTTTAAGGGTTTATTGTCCAAAAAAGAAGCAGACTGGCTTGTAATCTCACAGGAGAGGTTGTGGCAAGCAGGCAGGCAGGCAAACACACTAGGGCAATAAAAGAAAGATAGTGTTAAACTATCTACAAATTCTTCAAGAAAATATCAAACAAATTTCTCTATCCAAAAGGGCTGACTCTAACTACCACTGTTAATGAACAGACGATATGGCAAAGAGTGGCTCAAAGATCAGGGTTTTTAAACACTGCATGGCTGATTGTGGATGGGAAACAGGTGTGCATCCAGGAGGAGGAGGTGGAGATGCTTGACCAGGTAGCGAGGAGGCAGGACTGGAGATTGATGAGCCACGCCTGCTACACAGACAAACACAGACAGACCGGGAGGAATAGACATAAGAGGATGGGGAAACACAAGAAAAGACAGGAAAAGCTGAGGTTGCGATCAAAGTTGTAGCATGTTCAGCGTTTTTGTGACTGTTTGTCCTATTTTCCCTTTGCAGTCCCTCTCAAACTAGTCACCAGATTTAATTACATTTCGCGATAATAACAACCTAGGCTGAAAAGATCAAGTACAGGAGATCTTTTAGAAATTCTTTCCAAAGGGTTTATTTTGAGATGGAACATTTTTGCTGTGACGTGAGTGGTGACATTCAAAAAATGAAAGAGCTGTGAATGGCATGATTATCTGTCTTTTATGTGTATTTTATTTGACTGATATTGATAAAAAACATATTTTTCTACAAGTTGTTATAATAAATGTGGAAAAATATACAGCTTCGGTGAAGTTATCTGAATGTTTGGGACGGTGTCCTTTTTTCACAGGCACCTCTGCCTCGAGGTCCTCTCTACCACCTACTTCACTGAACTTCAATGTGCTGATTTTACTGCGCACTTAGAAACAAAACTCAAGGACACTGGTTTATTTGAAGTTACGTGTGGTTATGCGTTACCATGCTGTTATCTTGTAGCCTTTTGTGCGAGGGATTGTCTGACTATAATGTGTGACGCAGCTGTGATGTGTTTATTTGACCAATTTTGACATTTCACTCTTTCCTTCTGTTTTAGGAACCTCTTGGACCGAGACACTTTCTCCAAATCTGACCCATGTAAGTTCTTTGCTTTTTTATTATGCTAAAAATAAGTTAGCTTTTCTTTTCTCCGATTACAGTTCATGGACACCCTTTCCCCTTTGGCGAAGCTTTACTTTAAATTTTTTGCTGAGCTTAGCTTTGATTCAGTTTACTCTGCTTTTTCAAAGTGTTCCTTCAATAACTGCATGTCATTTGCACAGTAATGTGACAACCTTTCCTCACTGAGAGCAACAGAAAGTGCCTTAATGTGTGCAGGGAATAAATGGCAGCCTTTGAATACCAATGGGTGTCATTTGGTGAGACACACCAGGAACCGCCGTAAAGGCATTTTCTTTGACACTCCCCAAAGGATAGAGACCGGAGGAGACATTTAACATAATAGGGAGGAGGTTCAAGCCCTTTGCGCAAATAAGCTGCTGGGAAAATATCACACTGGCCCTGTTTTGTATTCGCCTGAAGATGAAGCTGGAGATGTCTGACAGGTCACATCCTCCTGTTTGTCTGCCACAGATTCATTGGAAATCAAAAGGGAATCAAAATCTCACGGTCAAGAAATGTGTTTTGTTTGCATTGCTTAAATAGGGCTCCATGAGCCTTCAATCTTGCTTTAGAGCTTAGCTCTTTGTATGTGGAACCCATACCCCGAAATTGATGTTGCGCAGCATCATCTAGCAAGGCTTTTCACTCTGCTGTCAAGGCGGGAAGCATAATTAATGATAAATGTCAGCAAAGGAGCAACAAAACAAACAACATTTAAAGAGGCAGCGAGCTTGATTGAGATTGTTTGATAATAATGTCTTCCTCTGCTCTCTGTCTCCTCTTTTCTCAGTGGTGGTATTGTACACCCAGGGTGTGGAGTGCAAACAGTGGAGAGAGGTAAGCGATCACAGACATCCTTCTGTCAAATAAACTTCATCAGCCTGTCTCCTCTTCATGACAGCCCGCACTATGTTTACACCACAACACCCCCTATCCCACCCACATCTCCCTCATGGTAAATGCTGTGAGTGCCAATCATTGACATTGATTGACCCTGTGAATACCCGCGCCGTGGTCAGCACTGCTTTCAGTGTGACTGATTGGCTGATTAAGGTGACAGCCACTTGTATCGATAAGTTTTACCTCTGTGACACACAGCCAGAGGGGGAGCGCTGGCTGTTGACCACTTGGCTTTAATTAGGCCATTGAGCCAAATAAAATAGAGGAAGACAGAGATTGCAGGAAGACAAGTGGTCCTTCTGGCATTATAATTTTCCCTCCCATCTCAGTAAGAAGATAGAAAAATGGCAACTTGCATTACATCTTCAAGGGGAATGGTAAACTAAGAATCACCGTGAGAGAGCTCAACCATCCTTTTTGAACATGAAGCAAAAATATTTAAGGGTGCAGAAATAAACAACAAAATCAATACTATACATACACGCTGCCTAACAAGAATACAGATAGTTTTCACTCTGAAAACCTTTTTCGACCGAAGAGAAAGGCTCTGTTTATTGACTCCACAGAGACCTTGGTGTCATGCTGGTGCACTGTGGTGTGACACAACAGATTGAAAAATTGAAAACACTTGTCACCAAGATGCAAAAGTTTCTGTTAAAATCTTAGAAAGGGAGGACAGTGAAACACAGAGGTTAAAAACAGGTTGAAAACAGATTTAGAGAAACATGAGAGACAGTCAATCTTACTATTCAAAAGCAAAACAACACACATAATCACTAAAGTGATTAAATGTACCAGTTCTGTGGCTCACTAATTAAACAGCCAAAAGCCAGGTGATGATTAGCTTAGCATAAAAACTGAAATGGCTTTTTCTTTCTGTATCTAGATAAAAAAAAGCCCTGCAGCATCTTTCATGCTCACTTGGGGACATGTCTAGAAGTCACAGTTTTTTCTGCGGGTTATTTGTCAGACTATTTCTTAACATTATAAATTCTCAGATGATTTCCTGTCAACTCTTCAGTGATGATGACAAGACAAATCTGAAAATGTTCTTCTAACACTATGACCTGCCTTTGGGAATTCACGTCCTGCTTGCAGACAGAAACTGTCCCTTATCTAGTTTTAAGTACAGAAATACACATTGACTTCATCATGATTTGGTTCCAAAGACAGTGTTGCAAAGTTTTACAATGTGTATCCTATAATTTAAATCTTCATTGGGAGTGCCACACTTACAAAGAGCTAACTCAACGCTAGCACAAATTTCAGTTCACACATATTGAATTGAACTACAGGTACTTCAAGTTAATAGTTCACAATTTTAAACAAAGTTCTCAGTCTAAAAAGTAAAAAAAGTTCACGTTAATTTTTTCATATTTTCAGCTGCACCGAGCTGCTTCTTTTTCAGTAGAGACTCCTACGCTTCAAATCTTGTCGTCATCATTCACTCGCAAGTTTTACCTGATTTAAGGCCTTTAACTATTTTATAAACAATTGCTTTTAGAAATATCATTAGAATCAGTTATATACAGGAAAGGTGGACGAGACATTTCCTCAACACTAAATGATATCTAGTAACCGTCAATAGATATACATATTTATTTCTCTTCTCCTACTGTATATCTATTAAAAGACAGTTTCAGTGGCTTTCCAGGTTTTGGGGTCACGCTTTTGGAAAGTGGTCTTATTTACAATGAAAACGGGTGTTTAAATAAATATAAAGGTGTAAAAAAACAACTGTCTAAAGGTGAAGGAAGAGAACAAGACGGCGATAAAACATGAACAAGAACCTCTTGTTTTAAATTATTAACATAGTGTACGTACGGCCTATATGATTTATGACCATGTTTTTTTAAAGAAGGTTTAGGAGAGAACCACGAGAGAGCTAAAGAGCTTTTCAAGTCACTTTATTCACTACATAACTGTCCCGGAATACAATTCAGAATGCAATGTGTGAAAATGTGGGCAGCAAGATATGAGCACGCTCGATGAACACAAAGGCACAGCACTGAATACATGGATCAGGAACCTGCAACCACAGGACAGCAAAACGCATGAAAGTCGCCATGCTCTTCTGAAATAAAAGAAGTCCACAATAATTCCATAAATTCCATAAATAAAGTATTTAGTGCCTTTGCATTGTGTGTGTGTGTGTGTGTGTGTGTGTGTGTGTGTGTGGGGGGGGGGGTGATTGATGGTAGAGGAACATTGATCTAGAAAGGAATCTCAAGAGTTGTTTGTTAATTTTGTTTTAATGTTTGGTGGGTCATCTGTGTGAGCTCTTAGTGGTTACTCGTTATGTGTCTGTGTTTGTCATTTCAATTAACCGTACTGCACAATAAATTCCCAGCAGAGGCAATTAACACAAATGATTGACTTGATGAAAGATCAGTCGGCTGGTGATCGATTGTTTAATGGATTAGATGATTAACTGATTCAGCAGAGAGTTTGATTGCGGATCGTTCTACAGTGGCAATCACTCAGAGCAAAAACATTCTTCAGCTTATTCACTGCTGCTCGTAATTTTTACTCGCACGTCCTTCAGGAGAGGTCGACTGGCCTTAGCTCATCATGAAACTTATACCGTTATGTTGGTAGCACAACAGTTATCTTCCTTTATGGGAGCCAGAGAATCGTATACCGAATAAAATGCCTTTGTAGACAATGACAAGCATCAAGTGCACTTAGCAGGCAGGTAGAGCTAGAGCCTCCTACACCTGTCACCTCTTCTTACACTGCCCCACCTCAAGCTGACACACTGAGCGTGCAGCTTTAGATAGACGCGTATGTTTCTGCTGCAGTCGACATCTGGCTTTGTGAGCTTCAGACAAGCTGTGCACTATTGATAAAGCTAAGAGCCTCTTTTGCCCCTCTGTCATGTTATGTGTTTTTGTTCTCCAGAGACTTAGAAGTGGATGTTCAAAGCACCTTTCACTTCTACAACAACCGTCTGTAATCGCCTTAAAGGGATAGTCTGGTATTTTTGAAGTGGAGTAGTATGAGGTAGTTGTCAATAAGCTGTATATTAGCCATTGGAAATATTTGTAAGCTCTTCTGCAAGGAAGCTAGGGTTTATATTGTAGCAGACAGGTTTGTGTAAGAAAAACCAAGCCAAAAAAACAACATTGGTGTAAATTTACGCTGTACTGAAAAAATACACAGCGCTTTTTTTCCCCTGCTAGCAAGCCCCTTTGTTTTAGACCTACTTCGGCACAACACATAGCCCACGTGTTCTTCTGCTTGAAGCACACTGATCAGCAGTTTCGGTCTATAGTGAATGCTGAAATAACTGCATGCCAGTTTGAGATCATTTTAATTAGGCCAACAAATCTTTAAATATGATCCGGCCGACGCAGGACTGGAATGGCTATAAAGTTAGTACTAGCTCAGTTTTTCTCAACAATGGACACAAGTTTGTTTTCATCAAGTAGACATCGTGAGGATCATGAGTTTTTACTTTATGCTATAAAAAAACTGTATGAGCCGGAAATGTACTTTGTAGAGAAGTTTCTATTCGGCTCTTTGTGAAAGTTTGAAGGTCCGTAAAGACATCAGCGTTCAGAACAGCTATGGATGGTAAGATATGCAGACTGCTAGAATGATCCAGAAATGTCCTGAAGTACTGTTTTTTACCAAGTCACACTTGCAGCTCTCTGGCATTGTGAATATGAGCGCTTAGATTACACACCTGCACCACCAGTTTCCTTAGTAGTTTCCCCTATCTCTTGTTCGGACCTGCTCAGTCTCCATCTTTAGAGATTTTTTCTCTGTTTACTCTGGACCATAAAAGTATCCTCAGGTGTCCATGGTGCACAGCGCCTCATAGGTGCTTTTAGTTTGGATGTATTTATTGTCTCTTTCATAGCCTGCAGAGCCGAACAGCTGATCGGTGCATTGCAGGTGGAAGAACACGTGCAGTGTGTGGTGTGTGGATGTAGGGTTTAAACAAAGGGGTCTGCTAGAGGAAAAGAGGAGCACTGTGAATTTTGTCAATATAGTGTGCATTATTTTTAGTGATATGTCAATTTAAATGTACCCGTCTGCTACAATGTATAGCCTTGCTTCCATCCCTGTTTTTTCAATAGAGCGCCTGAGCTGACAAACATTTCTGGTGGCTTATACACTTACTATCAACTATTACCTCATACGACCTCACTTGTAAAATACCAAACTATCACTTTAATCCTCCCCGTATTAAGAGCGTCTACACCAAAAGAAAGACCCCATGCTAATAAATAGGTTGAGTTTGGATTCCAAAACCTGTACCCTCTTGACTTATTTTTTGTCATCCCCTTTAATCAGATACACAAAGCTGTGGCCTCACTCTGTCTTTCTTTAACCATAATATTTAAAGTCAGAATCTTGAAACCACGACAGGTTTCCTTTTTTTTACTGCTTTTACTTGACTGAGCAGCTTGCACAATATAACTTCCCTAAATTTAGCAAAGCCAGGCTTTTCCTCTTCTAGTCAAACGCCTAGACATTAATCTTTTTAACTAACATACATTTTCTGACATCCCAACTCACAATATATCCGAGTTAAGGTTATTGGAGAGAAGAAACAGAGCCGATATAAATCACAGCAGGGTTCTTTTTGGGGCGGTTAATTGTAGTGCTTTGCAACTTTGGCTTTACATGCTGACAGTGTTCTTGCCTTGGTAGGAATAATGTGTGCGCTGGGAGATCTGTTATTACCTCGGGTGACTGTTCTTCACTCTGGTGCTGATTCTTTCTTTGTTTAGTTTGGCCTGAGACCAAATTGGATATGCTATGGCCCCCCTGCTGCCACATTCAGCCTGTATCATTGAAAAAGACTCCTGCCCGTGCGCGCGCTGTGGAGCTTTCACCTCCTTTGCTTGTGCAGGAAGAGAGCTCTCACACTTTTTTGACAGGGATGAAGAGAAGGAGCCACACAGCAGTTAAACTTTTATGAGCTTAGACACACTTTCATGTTGGATCATGGCAGGTTACACTCCAGAAAACCATCTCAAACTGTCATATTGTACGTATGATCCATCTTAACTGTTTTCACATTAGCATCGGTGTAAAAGTATTGCTGCTGTTGTGTGTAGCTCCCCTGTTAACTCCCGCTTTGAGTCTTGCCCCCAACTGATGTAATCACAAAGGTGTGAGCCTGTAATCCTGCTGTTTCATCTCCTCATTAAGCCCTCACACTGCTATTATTAATTCCCCGTGTCAGTTTATGGTAACCCTTTCTACTGCGGATCTTTTATTTATGCAGCTCAGCATCACTTCTCTCACTTTGAATTATTCATTTTGGATTCAATTAATGTGCGTGTGCTTGTGCTGGGGCCTGCACCACTTTCCGTGTCTGTTGATTTGTTTATCAGCACATCAACTCATCAGAGGGTCTTGCTCTGTAACACTGATAGATCATTTTTTTAGTGTCTGTGCTGGCAGTTTTCCATTTTCCTCTTAACTCCAGGGAACGGGAGATAGCTCACCATCTTCCCAGTGAAGAAACTGTGAGAGTCACTGTTTTTCTCTGTCTCCCCTTCTTTCTCTTTTTGAAGTGGCTCGAAGAGCAACAGTGTAAATGTGATATTAATTAAATTAGTGTAATTGGACTCAACAAAGTGCTTTCCTCCGGCTTGCTCAACCCCAGCAAAAAAAAAAGAGCAGAGAAGAAGAGCTGACACTGTGCGATCACTGACTCCTGTTAATAAAATCCAAGCTTATCCGAAGTCGTGAGTTCACACAGTTGCCGGGGGAAGATGCGGGGGGGGAGGTAATAGAGCAGTAGATGTACTTTCTGTGTGACTGCATGATGTGCCGTCTCCATGCTCTGCACTCACATCTTCCTATCCGCGTCCATCTTTTTTTTTCTCTCTCTCCTGGTGCTGATCTAGTTTGGGAGAACAGAAGTGATAGACAACACGCTAAACCCAGACTTTGTCAGGAAGTACATCCTGGACTACTTCTTTGAGGAGAAGCAGAACCTGCGCTTTGACGTGTGAGTTATCTGTTTGATCTGTACACACACACACACACACACACACACACACACACACACACACACACACACACACACACACACACCAGGTTCACCCTCTTCTAACCCAGTCCTACATTTCTTCCCTAAAAATTTACATCTTCTCCCTCATGCACTCTCTCTCTTTCCTCATCTGTCTTTTCATCCCCCGTCTCTCATTTTGTCTCACCTCTTCTTCTTTCTTTTCCCTCCCTCGTCACCATGCAGCTCTTCTCTCTCCTGAGGAATGAGTTATCTGCATAGTCGCTCAGTAGTCATTTGTTGAAGGGAGATTGGTATAAGGGTAATACATATTTAATATCAAGTTTTATCCTTAATCTCCCTGCTGCTAAGCAAGGCAAATGTCTGAAAACCAAGCCCTATAAAAATGCATAAAGAGACCTGTCCCCCCCTCCATCACATATTCCCGCCTTCCTCTTCTTGAAAAGGCCAGACTAGTGAGAGGGTCAGGAAGGTGCAGCTTCATTTTGAGATCTCAGAGAACAGTGTCTGGATGATTTTCTCCACACTCCCCCATACCTCAAGGAGAACAGATATGCTTCCAAAAACCTGTCCTTTTATTCCTCTCCTTTCAAGCATGAGGTCTCAGGTGGACTACCGGGACAGAGCTGGAGGTCTCTGAGGACTTTTAGACACTTAATGAATTCATTTGGCATATTTCCATGATACAACTCTGGAAAAGCAACGCAGGAAGTGCATCCCCTCACAATTAGTGTTACTCATTTACATCTGTGCTTTATCACAGAGGTGGGAGCCAGGGCTTACTGAGGTTTAATTACTTTAACATCAAGTTTGACTGGCAGATGCTTCAAACTTTCCCTGCTTCAGTAAATTGTTTCAATAAGATCCCCCTGGCAAATGATGGAAATTAAATTCTAAAAGTAAGGAATGAGTTCCTTAATTAACTGTCACATTATCTTTTTCACTTTTCTTTCTTCACTGGTCTTTCCCTTTTCTTCCTACAATGCAGCTGTGTGATTCACAGGTAGAGAATGTCCATGCTGCAGCTAATGTTTCTTTATAAGGTTCTGTAATGATCTTTAAAGTAATGTCTTTGCTTTGCTCTGCTTTGTGATTTGTGGCCTCTTTGTGATTTCAGATATGATATTGACTCTAAAAGTCCCGATCTGGCAAAACATGTAAGTAAAGGACTTTCTTTTGTTTTTGAGTTCAACGTTACAATGTCTCACAAATATTTGTTTGAATTGATCAAAGTGCATGCCTCAAATTTGAGGTTCCATGCAAAGCACAGTAAATGGCATCTAAATGCTCAAGAATATATATGTTTGGTAATGAATAAAATATGCTTCACCTGAAAACATGTTGATTTTTCTTATAAATCTCATTGCTTGGATGTGCAAATGAGATTTCTTATTTCTCCAGAGCTAAAATAATCAGTTTGATTTGCATCTGGCACATCCTTGTTATATTTTAATTTAAACAAGAAATGAAGCATTGCATATCATTATAATCAAAGCCTTATAAACTCATTTTATTGTGTGCTCTATAAAGCAGTGTAAAATTGTTACTCTTAAGATAGAAACATTTATAAAAAGGCGTATTTGATGGAACTAGACGGGGCCTTTATTGTGGAATAAACGTTCAGATAAGCTATTACACATATCATGCAGACAGATAAAGACAATATTTGAAGTCCTTGGTTTGCATACTATCAACATTCCCATCATTGGTAATTCTTCTCTCATTCTGAAGCTTTAGCTGTTGTGTGTTTGCATTGTGCCGCATGCTCTGGAAACAGTGAAACTCTCTGTGCCTTCGTTCCTTTCCTTTTTTGTTCTCTGTCGCTTTCCTTTTCTCTCCCTCTAAGACTCATTGACCCTTTGCTGTTACCATTCTGCCTAACTGCTCTTTCACAAATCTACTTTTCCTCTTCTTTCTTGCACTTTGTTGATGACAGTCTGGTATTTGAGTCTTGTGTCCTCTGTTCTATGATATGCTCTGTTGTGTTGCTGCTGCTGCCTGGTGTCTCTATTCCTCCTTCTTCACCCTGGAAGCCAACCGACTTCAACGTACGTGATAGCCTCAGAAGTCCTTATTTATAAATGTACAATGATTATAACAATACTTAACTCTTCACCTACTCTCTTTGTCCCCCCCTGTGATCCACCGGTACATCCCATCCTTTGACCCAACACACAATCTCTCTGCATCCTAATATATGCTATCCACCATGGCAGGACTTCCTGGGACAGGTTCACTGTACTCTGGGAGAGATCGTGGGCTCACCTGCTAGTCGCCTGGAGAAACCTCTGGGGTGAGTTTTCATTTGACTTTTTTCAGTCTCTTATTCTGCAAAGGGAAAGAATAAAAGCCCCTCAGAGCTAAGGTGAGGCTTCACTTAGCCTCGTCAGGAGACAAATAGATCCATTTTAAATATGCAAAAATACGTTTTCAGATCTAATCAAATTATGAAAACTTAATGCCAACCCTCAGCTCATTCAAATGTGACATGTTTTCCTGCTGGATTTCACACGTAATGGCAGCAAAGATGAGGCCATGATTGATATGTCTGACTTCCAGAACCATCTGTATCGTATGTTATGCAGCAAGATTAGACCCGTATGCTTGGATGGGAACGGGTAATTGAACACGACTGGGGGCTTCCTCAATGCAATTACTGTCATTAGGGAGGCGATCTAGCACGGAGACTGGATTTGAGTCAGCATGAGACACATGGCACTATCAACTCCGCCTTGACATAAATTGGAAAATATGAAGCCCAGAAGCCACTGGCACCCACAGAAGTGTGCATGTCTCTCTGACTTATGTGAGTCTCTTGGCGAGTAAGAGGGAGGGTTTTGACAAACTATGAAGCTCGTGCATGTTTGTAGAAGACTACGAAGTGCAGAATTTGTGAAGTATGAGACGGTGTCGGCCCCATCTGTGGGGGGGTTTGTGTGAACAACATGGCTTTGGTGTCAACCATGAACCCTGCCAGGGACTGGTGGCTGTGGATTACAGAGCTCGTTGCCCTTCAGTGCTGAATAAGAGGATGAGAGGGATCAAGAGACAGCATGCTGTAAACTAGGCTTCACTCTGCACATCAGAGTCTGACAGGAGACTCAGGAGCCCCCAGACATGATGGACAAAAGTATTGATTCTGCAGCTTCAGCAGGGAACCTTGATCCCCGCTGAGAATCTGCTCTGATGCAACACCCAATTTGGCTTCAGCAGAGGGTGAAGATGAAGGGGTGGTTGTCTTTAAAGTCAGAGGTATACTGACTGGAGAAATTATACTTTTTAAATTTACATGTATTGCTTTTAAATTTCCCTAAACTTTTATTTTAGAATGTAGTAATTCAGAAACACACAAAAAAACATTTTCTTTCTGTTCCTGATGACTGTTAGTAAAAGGTTCACTTTTACTCACCCATGCCTCAAAAAGCTAAAGCATATCTATGGGTAATGGAGTTTTTTTTACCCCTCTTGTAAAGATGATAGCTCAGATTTTGTGTAATGGCTGTGTGCTCCATTTCCACATCATGCAAATAAACACTGAATGTGCCTCCCTGCACCAGAGCTTTAAGGAACCGCTCCAGCAGAGACTGAGGAAATCTGTTAGCTATGCTTAAGCAAGTCCTCCTAAGGCACACTGCATCCAATGACCTGCTTAAGAAGCACATCAGTAGTACCCCTTTCCCTATTTTCTACACTTCCTCTATCATTCATTCTCTTTCTATTTACCACATTCCTTTTCTTTTCTCTTTGTGTTTTCTGTTTCTTGTTCCTCCCCAAATACACGCCCCTTCTCTTGTTCTGCATTATGCTTCTTTCTCCATCCAGCACACACAAACAGAAATATTGTACTGTTGTTGTGAGGACAATTTACTTTCTTAACCAATTCTCACCAAAACCATAACTACTACACACCTATCAAACCCCTACACATTAATGAACTCACACAATTTAACCTTTACTAAATAGCCAAGTCTCATTCTTTTTTTTCTCATTAGAAGCAAATCTCGTAAAGATCGATAGTTTGATCAAAAATCAACAACCACGTTGTTCTCTAGCTTCAAGTCTGTGCAGACGTACTAAATACTTAACCAATAACACTGTTTTCCACTATCTTTAGGGTTTTGCTATAGTATACATACTATACACATATAAGCATTTATCTTGCTTTATATTATAGCAGATATTGTACAAAACAAAAGTATGTGTTAACAAAGAATAGAAAAATAAACATGTTCAATGTAACATGTTAAATTATAAAATTGTCCCAACTACATTTTTTTTGCCTTCAAAAAGTCTCTGACGATAAGAGAAATCATAAATCATCACAGAAATAAATAATTCACTTTATTCGAGCAGAATTTGGGGATATTCATCGTGTTATAGGATTCATTATACCCATGTTGTGATGGATACATAATGCGCAAAGGCGCAACCACACGCACCCTCACACTCACACACATGCACGCACGCATGCACACAGCAGAAACATAACCTGCTACTCAGGCTTGGTGGAATAATTTACCTCAATCATTCTGAATTCCCTGATGCACCACACATGGGGACAGTTGTAATATTCTGACATTTCTGTCAGAGCAAATATTCACATACATACGTTTCTAGGGGAAAATAACGAGTCAGTTGTGATGTATGGCTTTTCCCACATGCCTTTATTAAGACAGAAACATTTGCCAGTAGGAGTAATGTAAGCTATGAAGCAGTGAAGGGACACAGTGCTACAAACCCTCTCGGTGTATAATCTGGTTTTAATGAGAGACATGCATCAAAGTAATCGAAATGCAACAAAATGCAAAGCTAAATGACAGACACATGCAGGTGAATGACATCTTTAACTGAAAAAAACATCATAGCTCTGACCTAACTCTCATGGTTGTGATTCTGTGTGTAGCCAGTGAGAAGGACGCACAACATGTGTGTGTGTAGTTAACATTTTAATAGAGTTCATTTTACAAATACCGGTAACCTTTTGAGTTGGTATACGGTACATTATACCACACACTAGAGCATGTGTATACAGCACAACATTAGCATGTTAAACCCATCATCCTACTGTGACTGTGCCCTAATGCTGTATGCTTGAGGCAGGAAATAAAGCAGGAGTTAAATTACAATGACTGTGGTGGGTGTGCCAGTTGCTCCCGTGGGAGCCGAGGGCGCAATGGAAATATAAGTAATATGAAAAAATATAAAATATATATGCTAATTAGAATAAATAAATCCAAGGCTCATCTGAGCTATATCCATCCTGTGGGGAGAAAAGCATCGTCAGAAAGCAAGGTTTTGTCTTTTAGTTCTCCCTGTGTGACTCTATGAGCTGTTATTGTTAAGGAAGTTCAGCAACATATACAACCAAATAGAAGTTACATGAAGGCAACAACTTCAACTTCTTTTTTTTTTAGCTCATAGACAGATCAACTTCTTTGTCATTTTATAATAAATACATACAGTATATAAATATTTGCTGGAGTTTTTGTGCCTTTATTGGAGAGATAGGAAAGAGGATAGAGTTGGAAATCAGGGAGAGAGAGAGTGGGGATTGACATGTGGAAAAAGGTTGGATTTGAACCCAGGTCGTCCACCTGGAGGACCACAGCCTCCGTACATGCGGTACGCGCCACCAGTGCCCCCCCTTAGATAATACTTTACTACAGATAAGCCCTAACCATTCAATAAGTTGAAGGTGTCTGCAGTGTGATACAGCCAAGCTGTATAATGAAATGACCCGATGCGTTTAAAGATATTTTTAAGTCAAGTAATATTTTGACACACATGTGGCATGGATGTAGTACCATGAAACATCCCTTTGAACTTTTTCATTAACTGTCTTTTGAGGCCAATAGAGCTCTTCACCACAGTGCTCCTCAATTTCCAAACTTCAAAGTCAAAGGCGAAGCAGAAATTACATTGAAGCGAGCCAAGGGGTGGGAATCAGAAACTTAAACAATAATACAAAGATGAAGTGTAGTTACACTGAAACACTTTCCCCCCGGGATGTGGGCATGCATTGAGAAAGACATAATCTGATCACTCATTTTAGATCTGATCGCATCAGAGCCAATATTTGATCAAAATCATCAGTCGCTTGATTTGATAAACATCTTCCTGATGGTCATAGCTTTGCTTTGAATAATTTGTTTTCTCGGGCTCTTGAATTTATTGCTTACTTTCGTCACAGTGCACAGTCATATTCCAGCATCCATTACCAGCTTTTTAATGATAACGAGTACAACCATTTTAAATAACCGCTATTAAGGAATATATTTTATTTGGGGCATCACTTCTTGTTCAATATTTTATGAATGATACATCCACAAACTAAGTCTTAAAAGAAAAGTAAACACAAACTGGAGCTCCAGATCTTCCCACCAGGCTGTGCGATGAGCCCTCAGGGAAGAGGAAGTCAGAGGTATGGAGACAGCATTGATTGACACATTCGGTGGTGCACATGTTAAATGATAACAGCACACTTCAATGCAGATGTGGCATGATAAACAGATAACGAAGTTATGATATGAATGATACATTTTGCATGGCTCTGCTTTTATTAAAGCATCCACGTTTAATTTACGGATTTATCTCTATGAAATCAAAAAACGTTTTCACTTCTTATCCATAGACTCCATGTCATGAAATCATTTGAAGTATATATTCACAGTTTATATTTTTCCTGAGGCTTAATTGAATAATTCTGTGCATATACTGTATGTCTCCAAGGATCCATCGTTCCCTAAAATCGAGTTATAATGTACGATTAAATACAACGACACTGTTGTTGTTCCATCTCGACAGGAATGCAGTCCAAACTGAATCTGTGGAACCGACAAGGTTTGATGTTTGATGAATTAGCCAGTGTTGTTGATTCAACTCTCTTATTATATTCTCAGCAGTTTTCTTTTATTACATTTTACAAGTTCCATCTGCTCTTGAAGATGTTCTGTATTGTCCTGTAATGTTCTCATCTTTTTGCTGTTTTCTCCTCTGTCCCTTATTTCATCTGCTCAGAGTTCAACAGTGGAAATAATAACTTACTGTTGGCAGTAATGATTCTTATTTTCAACTGATCTGTTGTCATTCAAATTGAGCTAAAAATCTTGATTTTGCCTTCAGTGTTGTCATGAAACAGTGGGACATCATCTCAGACTCATACTATTCCTTAAGAATATGAAGGATACAGATGAATCAGGGATTGTCATTGTTATTTTTAAATCAACTGTTGCTGTCAGATGTTGTCAGCTGAAGCTCGGTGACTTAAAATGATCACGTTATCTGAGTTTGCTG